ATGTTTTTTGGATTGAAGACAAGTTCTTCGCGCAGCAAATTTTGAGGCCAAAATTAACCCCAAATATCTTGTTTTTTTAACAAATTAAAACATGGATATGGTAACCACTTCGATCATAATCCTCAGCTTTCATCAATAATTGTTACCTATTAAAGATGCAATTAACGAAATGGCGGATCAAATTAGGGTTCTTCGAGCAAATTTTCGAGCCAAATTCAACACCCTATATCTTGTTTGTTGAACAAATTAAAACATGTATATGGTAACCAATTCGATTATGATTCAAAAATCTCAAATTTAATCAATAATCATTTCCCATTGAAGAAGAAATTGATGAAATGGCAGAGTAGAAAATTTGCCACTTCAATCCACAAGAACTATACTTCTTTTAATCTTTGATTCGAAATTTTGTTGTTTTATAGACAATCAATAATGCTTTACAACACTAAAGCATCAAAATGCCAAAAAATGGCAAAAAAATCGAATAAAAAAAGCAAGAAAATTTGATTCACATATCCTGATGCAAATAATTCGCTTATTTCAAAAAACAGTTGTTATTTTGTTTTGCCCTTTTTTTTTTTCCAAAAAATGCCGTTTTAATAAAAAACCGATCCGGTTAGATCAAAATCGGCTGGTTAGACATAAATACGGCCGGTTCGATCCCAAATCGGCCAGTTTTGAACCCGACATTTTTTTGAGAGATGGCGCTAAGTATTGGTACCCCAAAATCGGCCTAACCGAAGTCAGAACCATGGCGGTTCCAATCTAACAGGCCAGTTCTAATTCAAACCGGCCGATTTTATGAACACTGATTTTGATACTATTTGATTTGAAGGTGTATTTTACTTTGATTGTTTAAACCCTGAACCTTAAACCATCAAAATAAGGTGCACCACCAAATTTTATGATAAGCTTAAAATCTATTTTCATGTCTAATTATAAAATTTTAGGCTTCAATGGTTCCAATCAAGTAGATTTATAATCACATAATAATAACCATTCTCATTACTACTGGTCATTGTTAGTTGGACTTTGTAACTTCCTCAATTGAATTTATATCAAATTATAAATGGTCTTGCATATCTCCATAGTATTCAAATATTAATTTATATAAAAAGTTGTTTCAAATTTTTTTTGTAAGATAAATGTATGCAATATGATAGTATACACTTAATCTAAATTTTTCTATTTTTTAAAAAAATAATAATTTTTTTCAAGGATTTTTGACCCATTTTTTTTAAATAAAAATCCACTTGACTGGTTTGTCTGGTTCTGGTTCGAACCACTCCCAGCCCCATGTCCGATTAACCGTTCCAATTCGATTTTACGAACACTGCAAACCACTAAAACTATGGAAAGTTTTTGTTCAATATTTTTCCATGTTTTCTCTCCCTGATGGTTCACAGAGGTTGGACAGAGGGTTCGCTGTACTCAAATTTAAACTCGGGAATTCTCAAGTTTTTCTCATTCCTTTTTATAAGATCTGTTTGAAATTGACGTTTAATATGAAACCATCAATTTGAATACAAAGTCAGTAAAAGGAACCATGAATTTTGTTGGTTTCCACAGAGTACAACTGCGAGGGTGAACGGTGCTTCACCAGCCCCGATGCATCTTGAGAGTATGTTCACTTGAATCCATTTGAATCCTTATGCTCAGGACCTCCATTACATCAAAAAGAAACTTGACCATTACGCACCTCCAAGCCTGTTTTCGTGTTGAGCTCTACTCAGCTAAAAAGAGTGAGCTCCACTCAGCTAAAAAATTGAGCTCCTGTTAGTTATTGGGTAGAGCTCCAATAAAAAGACTTTTAGTTTCTATCACTGACATCTGGACCTCAAACATTCTTCGAATTAGAACATATTTCAGTACTCTGGAATACATGAAACTGAATTTCGACCTAGTAGTATGAAATATTTAGCCCAAAGTTGGCTGAGGCCCGGGGATATTAAGTCGAATTGATTTCAAGAGGACACATAAACCAACACTGCTCATTTAATTATTTGGTTTCTTCCTTCTGCAAACGAATAATGCCTTTTATTAGAGTTTGCCACAGTTTACAGCTTCAAACTTTGCCATGCCATGAGTCTGATTTATGACACCTCCACCCATGATTTTAAAACTCGGCAGAGGCCACTCGGACTCATCCGAGTAACTCGACCTCGCTCTATTGGCAAAGCGAGTTCAAGGTGAGTTGGTTGTATACCAATTTTATACACCATATTAACAATTATTCGTCACTTTTAAACCACATATGTTGTTAAGACTTTCTGGTTAGTGTTTACGCCTAAGCTTTTGCATGGTCAGGGTTCAAAAAACTCACAGGACAGGGAATCGACCGCGACCTTTATTAGGGAGGCCATCATTGTCCAGCAGGACAACCAACACGCCATTGACTATTTAGATGTTAAAAATCCGCGTACTAAATATACATATTACGCATTTTTTCGTTTTTTTTTTAAAACTGAACTATACTCAGGCGAGTTACTCGGACTTGACCGAGTAAATCGCCTCGGCCAGGGCCCAAGTACCTTGGCCGAGTCGATTTTTTGAACACTGCCTCCATCATTCCACATGCTTTCCAAAATGCAAAGTGTCTTTCCAAGACGCAAAATCTCTACAACACACAAATAATACTAAGAGATGGCTGATTGGCACAAAATCTTCCGGCTCCAACAATTCATCTTGGCCTCTCCTCATGTCCATAATAGACAGAAGGCTGGTCTCTACTCAAGAGAGTATTTATTTCCTAAAATCAGCACAAAAGCAATGTTGTGAGTTTCCTCTAATCATTCCCCAACACTTTGAATACTGAGACAATGCAATACGGACCACAATAAACAAATCAGGATATAACAATATATCAAGAAGTCAAGATATCGGTAATAAAGGGGTGTTGTTCCAAAAAGGCATAGGCAAAAATCAGGTCGAAATATAGACTGCCAAAAATTAGAAAAGTTAAAAGACTTATTAACATTTCAGATCTGACTAAAAAACTAGAGTTAAAAGACATATCGTGTAAAAATTACATGAGACAAAATTATGATTTACAGTTGGTATATGGATACACTAAAGTTATTGGACAATTATCTTATATCTATTCTTGGTATCAGGGTAATACTCTAACAAAAAAATTTCTTAATGTTCATAGAATACAACAATTATGTTTATTTTGCTCTATATTAGGCGCGTACAATGAAGCATAAACAAAATTATTAAACACAACAACAATTACCTTAACAAGCAACACGAATAATAACCCAAGATATATGACTACTGTTAGAAAAAGAAAGGTGAAAGGACACCCTAAGTATGGGATTGCAATTAACAAAAAAACACCAAATCCCAAACATTTGAAACAATGGTCCATTCCAAATGATATGGATCCTCGAACTTTGGATGTGCTCATTGGAGAAACCTTGCTACCTGTATTTTACTTATCTTTCTTTATCAATGAATACAGGTAGGAGCCCAAATCCCCACTGATTTATGATTTAAATTGATATCATTTGCTGCTGGTGTAAGAGAAATGAAACTACTGAGCTCCAATACTAGGCAATTATAGTTCATTTTCTCTTCTTTTTTTTTCTTTCTTTACTTTTTCTTCTTTTGCTTTGTTATGACATTTTCATTGTAATAGCCCTATGCTCAAAACCCATCAAAAAGAGTCTAAAGATCATTTCAAACTCTAGGAGGACCTATTCACAAGTTTGAGGCTATAATTTGAGCAAGAGACACTTTTTGAATGGAAAGGGCTGCTCCCTTTGGTCAAAGTGAGAAGTACCCACAGTCAAGCAAATTGGAAGGAATCTAAATGCGCCATGCTACAGAGACTTCATTTCTCTTGTTATTTTGCTTGTCGACAGATAACTCGTGCCATATTCATATAGCCTACAATCGCATTTAGATATAACATGTATGAAAGATTCTCATATATATATTAAAAATCTAAACAATAAATGTCTAGGTGTGCCTTCCCATTTCTTGACTTTAGGCTGCCACATCTAACACATGCATTTATTCCCATCTTCGTGAAAGTATATTGAATGTGTCACACAATTGCGCACACAATCATTGAGATTTTCTTTGTAGCTACAAAATGTGCTTTTCTTGTTTTATTCACGCTCTCTCATTTTTTGTATTTTCTTGTGGTGTTTAATATCAATGTAATTGCCTCTGGAGTAGCATCTGCTGATTCCAAAATAACCACTAGAGATGTGAAGGATAACATGATCATGCTAGGGAGCTTTGGCACTTCACTCCTAATCTCCAGAGATTAGTCTCATTTTTCGTTTTTGTCTAAACGACTAGTTGATCAATTTATAAGTTTGACACAAGCCAGTGATGCCCACTTTAACTATTTATCATGGAATTGCTAGTTAAGCCTCAAAACAAATTTTAAAAAGAATATAAATGGCGAACCCAGAGCTGGTCCTGCCTATGCAGGTTCCCGGGAGGGGTGGGCTGGAAACCGTCCTAACCTTTGGCTTTTTATGCATAAAGTGGCCACTCGCAGGATTCGAACCCGCACTCTTGCGCTGGCTACCCGAGCCTTTTACCGTCACAGCAAGTGACGGCCCCCATATCTAAAAAGTAATTTGTTAAGTGTTGATTATTATGTCTATAGAGTTTCTACGGAAATTGGTACAAGTTGCTTGGACAATTGGTAAGTGTTCGTACGGTTTCCGTCAAAAAGTACTACCCAAAAAGAGAACCTGCATAACTATGATCTCACCAATAGCAAGAAAATGGCATAATAAACATCACATGCCTATCTGGATGCATGCATAAGCATCACACAAATTGGGCTCATGTGAACACTGTTGGGCGTTGGTATTCTTATCACCAATGTACACAATGTTGCACCTCAGGGATGGCATCATTTCTTAAAAAATGCAGTTTCCCACATATTAGTGGAAAATTAACAATAAACAGGAGAAGAAATTGTCAACATATAAAATACAAGACAACAAATCATACTAATATCACAGAGCACCACATAAAATAATCACCAGAGAAGGTACTGCATTTAACTTCAGAAAATCTCACAAAAAAGTCATGTCAATTGCATTTAACGCCACATATCAGGGAATAAAACAGATCAATCCAACAAGAGAAAAGTAAGGGACCTCCTCCAGCATCTAGTAGCATCTTCAACATGGATCAAGGTCCCAAAGTTGTTCAGATGACATCAGCCACCACCTTAGAAGCCTGGATGTAGAATAGTAAAGAATATGCTTCTTCTATATTACGTAAATAGTAAAGAAAAAGAAAAAGGCTTAGCTATTTGGTGATAAAGAATTGTTGCATTGATGATTTTCAACCTTGATAATTTCACATGTACTATTATAAAACCAAGACATTATAAAATAATTAGTTTGCTATCTAAATTATTTTGAGAGTTGCCCACAAAACTTCCACTTTGTAATAGCTCGAGTTCCATTGAAACTTCACACAAGGCCTGCTCTTTGAAAGTAAGGTGTGAGGATTCAAAGGTTAGGGCTTGAAATAAGAACTATTTCCTCCCTCATCTGAAAATCCAATAACTTCAATGCCACCATAATCTCATGAAACTGAGGGTGTGAAGTGTGATATGCAAAAAATGTATTTATGGTCCCATTTAGCTGTACAAAACTCCAGCCAGGTACCTTCTTCAGTCCCATGGCCCGCATCTTCACCAAAGTCTCGGCCATTCCATCCCATTGGCTTAAAGCAGCATGCCCATGAGCCAATTGAACATAAGCCTCAGCCGCTTGTGGTCTCAGCCTAAGAATTTCATCTGTGATGACCTCAGCAAGCTCTGTTCTCCCATTATTTCTACAAGCACCGAGCAAAATGCCTAGAACCTCAATTGTCGGTTCACTCTTCATGCTCTTGAGAAACCCATATGCCTCCTCTACTCTCCCTGCACGACTGAGAAGATCGATAATGGAAGCATAGTGTTCAATCTCAGGTTCGATGCCAAAATCTACAACCATCGAGCGGATCAGTTCCAAGCCTTCCTTAACCAGTCCAGCATGGCTGCAAGCACACAAGACTGATAAAAAGGTGACATGGTTGGGTTTGGTCCCTGTTCTGAGCATGTCGGAATACAATTCAAGGGCAATTGGCCCTTTACCATGGCTTCCATAACCAGAAATCATAACAGTCCATGAGATTACATCATGTTGGGGCATTGCTTCGAAACATTTACGAGCTGTGGTGATTGAGCCACATTTTGAGTACATATCAATGAGAGCGGTCCCCACTGAGATGCATGAACAAAACGGATTTCTGATCACATAGTTGTGGACCCACTTTCCATGGTCAAGGGCCCCTAAAGAAGCACAAGCTTGGAGGAGAGCAGCTATGGTGATTGAATCAGGCCTCACAGGAACCAATGTCATCTGTGAAAACAAAGTAAATGCCTCCTCTAATAGACCATTCTGAGCATAACCTACAACTATAGCATTCCAAGAGACCAAATTCCTTTCAGATATCCTGTTAAAGACTTGACGACTCTGTTGCAGAAGACCACATTTTGCATACATGGTCACTAAAGAATTCTCAGCAGCCACATCCACATATAGCCCCCTCCTGGTTATGTAGCCATGAATGGCCTTCCCCTGATTGATCGCACCCATTTGAGCACAAGCTGCTAAAACACTAGCAAAAGTGGCAGAAGAAGGAAAAGAAGCCCAAGACTTTAGCATCTGATAGAAAACACGCAGAGCTTCAATGGGGAGACTATTATGCACAAGACCAGAAATCATTGAATTCCAAGCAACCAGATCTCTTTCAGTCATCCTTTCAAACAAACTGGAAGCAAAGCCTATGGCTCCACACCTCAAGTACATATCCATCAGAGCAGTCTCAACAAGAATATCTGATTCAAAACCACAAGTTAAAACCTGAGCATGAACCGACCGGCCCCAATCAAGTCTGCCCATATCTCCAATTGCAGAGGCTAAGCTCCCCAGTGTGCTCAAATCAGGGCACATGCCTCTGATTCGCATAGAAACCAAAAACTCCGCGACCTTTACCACATCCCCATTTTGCGAGTACCCCGAAATTATTGAGTTCCACGAGACTAAGTCTCTCTCATGCATTTCATCAAACACTCTCCGAGATGCAACAAAGTCTCCACACCTGGAGTAAATGTTGATGAGAGAGTTAGAAACTGGGAGATCGGAACAAAAACCCGATCGAATTATGAAGGAGTGAATGCACTCGAGGAGAGTGAAATGGTGGTGGGCGAGGCTAGAGAGAAGGGTTACCATAGTTATGGCATTTGGACTGCTATCGGAAAGACACATCTGCTTAAAGAGGGGCAAGGATTCGGACGGCTTATGGGCTGAGAGGAGGGCAGTCCAGGAAACAACGCATCTCTCTCGCATTTCATCAAACAACTGGTGGGCTTTGCAAGGGGTGGAGGAACATTTAGCATAGAGCGATAGGAGGGCGGTGGCAATGTGGGGACGAGAGAGAAGGTTGGTTTTGACGAGGTGGGTATGGACGATATGACCAGAGAGGAGGAAGCCATGAGTGGCGCACGACTTGAGGAGAGAAGGGAGAAAGGATGGTGGCGAGAGAAGTAGATTTAATTGAGGAGGAGGAGAAGAGGAGATGGAGGGTTTTATGCAGCGGAGGTGGGGCATGTGGATGGTGGGGATCTCTCATTGTTGTGGATGAGCATCAATGGAGGGGTAAACCCGTTCTCATAGCAGGACAACAAAAAAAAATATGTACAAGTTCAAATGTCATCAAAAAATCAGCACTATTTTAATTTTTAATTTTTCAATATTAAAAAGGACTTCGTTAATTTTATTGAAAAATCTAAAGCCAATGATGGAGACGATTTATATTTGGTACAAGATGATCACAATTAATCTTGACTATTGGATGTGAAATTAGATGGTTACATTTATTTTATTGACCAAGCACAAACTTTAAATGAATTTTTTTCGAACTTTGTGAGACACCCAAACTATCCGATTTCACATCCAATTGTTGCAAGTAACTATGACCTCCTTATATTAAAATAAATGGTTTCATTGTATACAATTCCAAATCTAAATAAACTATGCTATTTTTAGGAATAAACTATCTCTTAATTTGAGATTTTAAAAATATCCAAAAATTAAAAAAACCTTAATGATTAACTTTTTGAAATTATAATTAAATGAAGAATTAATTCATTTCCAAAAAATAAACATATTTCTTAATTTTATATTTATACAAAATAATAAAAATGCAATATTCATTTCAAAATCCTTAAAAGATGAAGAACCTTTATTTCTCATAATGAATTTTTTATTGAAGATATTATAATATTGATAAAGAGATTATTTTGTACACCTAGAATAATGTTAATTTTTTAAATTTTAATGCTAGTATTAACTGTAGGGCCATTAACAATTAATATTATCATCATTATTAGGATCTTGACTACTAATTTACTTATAGTAACAAAAAATCATTGATAACACATGACCTTTCATTAATGATCATTAGTAAACATGTATTATCAGAATTACACACATAACCACCAATAGAATGAACAATGCAATTTAAAGGAACGGCAAAGATATTGAGTATACCAATTAAAAAGAGCCTCTCTAACGAATCTAAGTAATTCAATCTTTATTATATATTTAATAAAATAATTACAAAACAATTAAAGTGTAGCTATGAATTATATAGAAATGTAAAATGTAATTGCAATTGAAATCATTGCACAATCAAAGGTTTTAACATTAGTGGGTGTAGATAATTAAAAAAAAAAAACAAAGTAAAACCCTCAAAGAGAAAAAAATTGAAAGTTCTAATTATAGATATATACACACATACCCGTACACAGACCTAGAAAAGACTTGAAAAAGGAAGAACTTAATATCAAAAAGTTTCAAAAAAATTTGAAAACTCAAGTTTAGAGTGAAATTCATGGAACTTTGGTTTTGTAGGTAAATGCCTTACTTTACAATAAGAAAATACATACAAACCCTGAAAGATTACCCGTTGAATGAGTCCAATCCTTTTTTTAGGAAAAAATAGCAAGTTTTGCCTCTTCTTTTTTTTGGGGGGTGAGTAAGTGGGGGAGAGGACCCTACCTTTGGTAGAAATTGAGCCTAGGACACAGCATTGCAAATTGTCAAACACTAACCAATTAAGCCCAAGCTTTCTTTCCGTAAGTTTTGCTAATTAGCATGTGGATAGAATTTTTCAAATGAATTGCCTAATTTAGAAAAGAAACAAGTAAATAAAATTTCATCAACCTCACTGAATGTAAAATAGGGTATTGTTGAGGCAGAGGAAGGAAATCTTTGTTTATTCTTCTTCTTTAACTTGTAATTACAACAATAAGTTGAATAAAATAAATTAAAAGACACAAAAGAAAAGAGAAAAAAAAAAAAAAGAAGACCTACAAATGCAAAAAAAAATAAAATAAATTACGATCAAGAAAACATAATTTATAGTCATGTATTAGAAGCCATCATTCTTTTCCTTGTTGTTCATGATCTAGTGTCCCCTAACAATTAAAGCATACAAAATTTATTTGAAAATTAACTTTCAAGATTTTAAAAATCCAAAAAAATGCAAAAAATATTAGCGGCCCAACAACTTTATTTACGCACAAAAAAAGTCTTAACAATTTCAGCTTTTGAAATTTATATTTTTTATTTTAAAAATCCAAAAACACAAACAAGAAATAAGATCTTGAAAATCCAAAATTTATTTAAAAATTAAAATTTCATATTTTAAAAACCCAAAAATTCTATTTAATGTCCCGACAATTTCAAAATCCAAAAATTGTATTTTAACATCCCTTAACATTTTCAAGTTTCAAAAATCCAAAATTTACTATTTTCATAATCTAAAAATTTCATTTCCCACTAGATCATATTTTTATTAAATTCGGATATTGAAAATCCAAAAATCTTGTGAGGGAAAAGATTTTTTTTAAAAAAAAGGCTTCAACTATCCTTCACTATCTGAAAATCCACAAATAAAACCGGGATCTTGAATATCTTGGCAATTTTGGGATCACCAAAAAAAACTAAGTATAAATATAATAATGAAAAATTATGGATAAATTTTACATCATGTCGAATAAAACAAATATTAACATATTTTTCTCTTAGTTTTACAATTAATTTGCGCTATTCACACGGTTGAGAAAGAAAAATTTTATAGGAAAAATTAGAGAAATCCCCCAAAACTCAACTTTCTCCACATTTTTCCCCTACCCATTCTTTTTATCGCAACTTTTACCCTAAAATTAACTTTTATAACAGACCCCCAAGTCAAAACGTAATAGTTTGGAGTACAAAAATACCCTTGTCCGTACATGAAGCCATCACATTCTCACATACACTCACTTGGTAAAGTCGAACGGACACTTTATGGTGGCGGTGTAGCACTTTATAGTGGCAGTTCGGCACTGAATTGTGGCGGTCCGACAGCTCACTGTAGCAGGAAGGTATTTTTCTAACGAACAGTCCAGCACATAGACCAAGGGATCCGACATACCGTAAATGCGGTCGGCACATAGAACAAGCGATCCGGCAGTAGTGGCCCTTGCCCGATACAAGGGTGCCACGGTCCGACACTTGGTATGTTGTTTTTGGAACGGTGGTTCGGCAACTTTTGGTATAGGTTCCGAGTAGGGGTATTTGTATGCTTCACATTATTACTTTTTGACTTGGGAGTCTTTATTATAAAAATAAGTTTTGGGATAAAAAAATAGTTGGAGGGAAAGTGTAAAGAAAGTTGAGTTTTAGGGAGTTTTTATAATTTTCCCAATCTTATATGGTAATGTGAGAGAGAAAAATCTTATATGCTAATTTGAGAGAGAAATGAGAATCTTATATGGTAGTGTGTGAGAGAGATCTTGGGCGGTAGTGTTATTTTACTTGAGGGTGGGAGACATTTATCCATTTAAGAGAAATATACACATAGGAGAGACATATGCAAATAGCGATCTTTAGATGGAGCTCACGCCATCCAAGCGGTGCAATATCAACCGTCGTTACACGCATAACTACCATGGGCGCCGGAAAAAAACGATTTCTCCATTTTAGGTTGCTATAAAACGACCTAAATCGTATGTTTTGGTGCCAATCCGCTCTTGGAAAGCACGTTGGAGACAACCAAAAATGAAGATTGTTTATTCGGTGGGCCACCATCAATTTTTTTAATTGGAAAAGTTAGGAAATACAAAGGTTGAGTCGTCCGGTTCTAACTACGGACCGTTCCGAACCGGTTGGTTTTAGGGAGCTCGGCTCGATTGGATCCCAATATATTATGGGATCCAAATCTGGCAGGGCCAAATCCGATTCAAATTGGGCAATTTTGATCTAAATCACCAACGTCGGCTCAAGGGGCTTGGCTGGATCCCGATATATAACAGGATCCAGATCGAGCAGGGCCAAATCCAATTCAAATTGGGTAATTTCTAATCCGTCTCACCAATTTTTCGAACCTTGATCCTAACCAAGGTTTAGAAAAACATACTGGTGATCAGGATTGGAAACCCAAAAAACCTTCTGAGATCAGTGGATTGGTGAATTGGATCGGAGAATCAGGCAAATCGGCCAGTCTTAGCCTCAAAATCTTTCAAAAAAATCACAATAATTTATCAAAAATCTAGTTTTTAGGTTTTCTAAAAGTGGCAATTACATTATGATTTTTTATTATTGTGTCAAAAATATGTAAATACTGGTAATTTGTCTTGTTTGAGTGTTCGTTGTCTATAAAATTCCTTTTCTAGTTAAATGAAGTTTAAAATCTAACTCATAACAATCAAATGAATCTCTCTAATTTAATTTATTTAATTTTACTTTTGTATCAACCTAAGATTTTTTATTTTGTCATAATCTCGAATTTAATTTATTTAATTTTATTTTTGCATCAACCAAGGGATCAGTCGAAACCTTCCAGTTCTTAGGGGGACACGGGCTAGTTCTCGATATACGTTGAGAATTGGATCATTTCAGTTAATTTTCAATACGAATCAAGCAATTTCAATCCAGATCAAAGATTTTTAAAACATTGACCTTAAACTTCTCTAGAGAAACCACACATATGCATCCATCTTTAAAGGATAATATATACCTCGAGGGTCACAAATGTAGAAATGTGTCCCTCGCATATAAATTTATGCTAGTTGCCAATTTTACTCTAACTACCCTTAAATTTAGTGTAAATTTCTGCTAATATCCTTTATTTTTTGAAATTAATAATCTACATCCCACATTTTATAATTTGTGCTCATGTCCTCACTTTTAAATTTATTTTATTTTTTTCAAAACTCCATATATTTAAATTTTCAAAAACCAAATCGAAACAACTAACAAATCGATTCAAAACTTACATTATGGACCAACTTTTAGTGAACCGACTAATCGGGGAAAAGGGCTAAGGTCGTGGTAGTAGTACCCTCATGCCCTAGTCATCATGTTGTGGTTCCCATTCCCATCACCAACACCACCCCACTAACACTCACTCGTTTATAGTAAATCCGTACCTCAATAGAAAATATGGTCCTTTGATAGCCTGAAAGTCCATTTCCACTTACTTTGAAGCTCCAAAAATGGTGTCCATGAATTTAACTAGTATTTTATAAAGAGATTTTCACCATTAATCACAACAACAAGTAATAGAAAATCCCCTTACAGAAGAATGTTATGCAGCCTATGTTTCAAGGACATAGATGAGTCTCAGCATTTGACATGGACACACATATCAATAATATCAATCCCAATATTAGCATTTCAGAAAACCACTCAGAGTGGATAGGAGATAGGGAGATAGAATTTTATGTGAAATTGTGGACTTCTATGATAAAAATATAAGTGTCCAAGTTTCTAAAATGTTTGATCCAAGAACCTTAGGTTGGGTCATGTCCCGTAGTTGGCAACAAATTGGTGAGCATAGTTCTTTTTAAAGTATAAGCTCAACACAAGATACACAACGTACCAATCCTCAACTAAAGTATAGGCTCGACCTTTTTTGGTTTCTAGATTTTTATTTTTATTTTTATTTTTTTCATAAAAATCAAACTAATCCAATAAAAGTAGATAAAAATTAAGGACCCAGTTTCTATGCGGCCAAGCCTGCATATGTAGAAATGCAAGCCTATTAATAAATCTATTTTTGAGATGGATTTTTTGACTTAATTTTTAAGGATATGTAATCCCTAACATGAAGATCATGAATATGAAAAAATAAGTAAATTTAAAAAATTAGAAACAATAATTCTAGTAAAAAACATTTAGGTCGTTAGTTTCCATTATTTTTAAATGGAACACATCCATCTTTTAGATGAGATGCTTTATACTTTTTGGACTGCATATGTAGTCCTGCAGTCCAGCCGACATTGAAACAATTTTCCAAAACTTAATCTTATAAAAATAGATAAAATTGTGACTATTGCGAGGTCCTCTTTTTACACAAAGAAATTGTCAAAATGTTTCAGCACTAATTTGCGACACCCAAATATAAAGCTCGAAATTTGGATTCGACCTAATGAATCCGTGAAGAATTGAAAATAGATGGAGTAGATAATATATTACAAGATACATTATTTTATAAGATACATCGATCTTAGGTCATGAAATTAAATTATTCTTTTTTAGTCTAATATTGTTAGCGGAGATGATTAATTTGAGGATGCAGTTGGCACACAGATGCATCTGTAGGTAAGGTGCACCTTCTTAATTTTATCATGGTATATAATTTTGATGTAAAATGTTCTTAGGATTATCTCAAAATCTATTTTTATATCTAATTATAAAATTTTAAATTTCAAAAATGGTTAAAATCAAGTAAATCTATAAACATATGAAAATCTTGAAAATGGACGTGTGCTGTAAAATGCATTAATTTTTAAACTTAAAATCTTTTTATTTTTCATAGTCATACATCTCGATGTTGAGATGATCAATCAAAAGGTTTTTCAACATTAAAATTACCTTTTCCAATGGATTTTTGAGGGGCATCCGTAGTTCTACATTATAAGGTTGCATCCTTACATAAACTTTTCCCATAATTTTGAGGGTTTTCCAATTAAAAAAAACTAATATATGCTAACAACAAATCGGGGCACACATGCATGAGATAAATCAGAATCCGAGTAATTCACCAATAAAACTGCATAAAAAATTAAATAAATTGTTGCATGCCTTTTCTTTTTACTACAAATTATAGAGAAAGAGAGCTTAGTGCTAGGCAATAATTTGTCCCCTGTAATAGTTGCCAGCCCGGTTGTTCTTAAGAGCACAACAGCTAAGGGAGTAGACGATTATGAGGAAGAGGAGGAGGGCAACGTTGACAGCTGTGATCATCCGCCAGTCATGCTTGACGGTGGCGATCAAGCCGGCTTGACATGAGCCACAGTTGTAGCAGAGCGTAGTCTGGTTGTTGCTCCAAAGCAGACAGTCGTGGTCAGTAGAGTTGAGGGTGCCGGATTTCGGTAAGTCCCAGAAGGTTGCATTGCGGTAGACATAGCCGCATGCCGTCGGTGGTTTGCAACAACCCGACTGTACCGAGAAAGAGAGAGAGAGAGAGAGAGAGAGATCAGTTTTCATAACACACTTGCATGTGTATCTATAGAGATTGTGTTACAGTGAGATATCTATGTTTGTTTTGATATTAAAAAAAAAAACGAAAAAGTGATTTATGTAGGACCTTAAAATTTTGAGTAAACTACAAAATGTTTGATTTATATGCAAAAACTAAAAAGAAGGTCGGTACACTGGCCTTTTTTTTTTTTTTTTTTTTTAGAAAAAACAGAATTTGAATATTCAAATTTTTAAAATTTTGAATAAAGCCATTTGCCTATTTTTCATATATATGAATTATATATTTTCATGATATGAAAAGAGATTGGGTAAGGGAGGTTTCAAGGAAGGATAACAATGGTGGCCGTTAAAGAAACTCCCTTCACCCCATTTGGAATTGGGGAAGTTCATCGGCACTGCTCTCTCTAAAAACTAGGCTTTTCTCTCTCTAAACATTGGGATTTTTTAGGAACTGCTAGCGATGAGCCTCTCTCTAGAAACTGGACTTTTCTCTCTCTAAAAACTAGGGCTTTTTAGGGCACCATTTTTGTCCTCGGAACCTGGGCTTTCCTGTGTTCCCACTATTTGTGCTATAAGAGAAATATTCATGTGTTCCCATTGATTATAGAACACCTGCAACTAAATACTACTGATTACAGTGAATTTCTACGATTTTTCGGGTAAACTTATTAAGATCAAATTCCAGAACTTTTTGGTCACAGACATCCAGTTTGCAAGGCATTTTACCTTGTTAAATTACTGACGCAAAGTGATGCTATCAAAGTGACCCTCAGTTGTTTTGTTGTTTTTTGTTCGTAGGGCACTACCCCAAGTTTGTGTACCCTAATGTAATGTGGAATATTATTCCCCAAGTTTGTGTCTCCTTCCATATTCTAATGGAAAACACCACTCTGCACTCAGATCTCCTAACTGTAGGAAGTTTGGGGACTGAATAAGTTTAGTCTTGTTTAAATATAGTAAAAAAAAAACATGCACAACAGGTGTTTTTCATAATCAAAATATGTATAAAAATGAATACCTTGCCCATTTAATACATATGATGCAATTTTTTACTGATAATCCATGGAAGAAAGTGAACGAATTTTAATTCCAAAGTCAGTAGATCATATTATATTTTCACTTTATCGTATTACATTTCAATAATAGGGCCCCATCTAAACCTATAGTACAAATGAGTTCAATACAAAATTTAAAGTAAAATGACCATGTCACATCATGCATGCCTCACCTCTAACACATGCATAATCACAACTCTAAATCCATGATAAAAATCTTTATCAGTAATTTTACTCAGAAATTTACTAAAAATCTAAATCTCACAAAACCCAAGTAATATTTTTTGTCATAAAATTTAAAAAGAAAAAAAATACATACCTGAATAGGGGATAAATTCTTCCTATAAAACTCATCAGCCTTTTGTTGGACAAAATCACCATGCCCTAACGCACCACACACATGAGCCTCAACCAAACAGCCATTAATCTTAGTCCATATTTTAGGTGCACTAATCCTCTTTTGCAACCAATGTGAATAATCACCAAGCCTGTATTCTTTGTAACCGCGCCCTGACACAAGCCGGCCTGCACCCTTATTCGTGATCACAAATACAAAGACTGTGAAAATGACTACGGCCAAAATTAGGGCAAACATTAGGAAGGCATAAACATAGAGAAGGAAGCGCATTTTACATAGAGAGCCAAAGAGGCCGGCTAGAGAGAGAAAGAAGAGGAAGAGGGCTAGGTTTAGGACTGGGATTTGGAGGAGGTGGAGACATGGGATAGAGAATGTAGAGTGGTGTTTAGAGAAGTGGTCGAAGAGGGTATAACCTAAAAGGAATAGAGAGATGAGGAGGGTAACAATGTTGAGGAGACCGATCACCTTGTTGCTTAGGCGCCACATTTTGTTTCTCTCTTCTTCCTTTTTTTTCTCTCTCTGAAGATCTCTTTTCAAAGAGAGATCACTCACTTTCTTTCTCTACAAAAAAGATGAATATACATCTCTCAAGGCAAACAGCAAAAGGAATTGGGGTAGAAACATGAAGCTTTAAAGAGAGACAATAGTTATTTTTAGAGAGAGAAACAATGGAAGGATTTGGTGGTTTAGGTTTCTAATAAGATTGACTATCAGATAAATTTTTTCTCAGAGGGAGACAATGCAGGAGAACGAATAGCGGTTTGGATTTCGTGAGTCAGTGCCATCTGTTCCTAGCCGTCAAAAAACAAATCGGACGTACTTGAGATAGGGAACGTAGATATCGTGCCCTTTGGAATTTGTAATGATAAATCATAACCGCAAGTAGATTAACACGTATCTTTCTCTTTTGATATGGGTGAATGTGATCCTTAAATCTTTTGACTTTTGGAGATAAATTTCATGTACCCTATCTCCACATATCTTAAAAACGTTAGACCATAAATACAATATGAGGTCGTCCACATCTCTTCCTTAATCCACGGTCTCGTGACCTATCCTTTCTCCCATTTGTTTTTGTAAAAAAATTAACGGCCAAAAGATGTTTTGCTCCTGTGGGAGTATTATGTTGATCTATCCCTCGAATAAATCTCCCCAAATTTTGGGGATGTAACTTTTTCAAAAGCAATTTCCTAATGGCACCCTCTATGCGCTTAAAATTGAATGTCGCATGATGAATAGAGATTGTCAAATTTTTAGAGGGTGAGATCCTAGTACCATAACCTCATAAGCTCAAATGTTTTGTTAAGAAAATAATCATTTTGTGATTATCAAGTGGTTACTAAAATAATGAAGAATTCTCTCAAAGAGGTCTTCTGACTGAGGGAGTAGATGTACACTATGCTCCCGTGGAAGCATAGTATATGGTCTCTTTTTTATCCATACTATATTAAGGGGAGACTCCATACTAATCCCGGAGAGTATTGTGTAAGTCACAATCCGAGGAGAGGGAAAGAGAGAAATTTTGTACTCATCTTTAGGAAGTGTAAGTACGTGAGAGAGATTGGTGTAAATACTAAATTCTAGAGGATGTGGATTATCTTGTCATTTTTTAAGCAAAGCAAATTACACAATAGGTAGAAAATTGAGATATTTTAAGAGAAAGATGAGAGGGAAACTCACGTATGAAATACTATAAAAGACCCACAAAAATATCTAACATTATGCTAGAGAAAATCAAGAGGATTTTCATTCAAAAAAAATCAAGGGGATTTGACCGTTGGTAGAGATTGAGAAATTTTAGAAATAAATCTGATTTCTCTCTCCACAAATTCCTCTCTCTCCACAAATTCCTCTCTCTCTTTCTCTCTCTATCTCTTCCCCACTACCTCTCTCACATCATCTCTCTCTTTCATCCCTCTTTCTTTTTAATTATTTTTATTTGTGTATTGCTATAGGATATTTTATCTTTTATTTATGATTTTTTTGGTTGATGAGTGGTGTTCAACTATTTTAATTTTTTTATTTGTGTATTGCTATAGGATTTTATATTTTTTATTTATGATTTTTTTGGTTGATGTGTAGTGTTCAACTTATTGTAGATATTTAAGCATATGAGGTAAATTGAGCAAGAAGCCAACAACAAGTTATACTCATAACTACCCACAAAAAAAAAAAAAAAACAAAGGTATATTCCAACCCGATATGCATGATTTATGTTATTGTTCGTTAACTTTTTCTTTTTCTTTTTTTTCTATTTTGAGCTTCTCGCTATATTAATAATAATTAGTAATTATACCTATGATTATAGAATTATTATCATTATATTTCCTTCTTTGAAAGGATATCATGGATTCTTTAGAGATGTTGGGGTAGAATTAAAAGACAATGGTGCTTAATGCACAATTAAAAAAAAAAAATCCGTTAAAAGGATATCAATGGTAGTTATTAAGTTATGTTTTCATACGGTCTTGAAGATTTTCATAATTATGTGATTCAATAATATGGGAAATGAAAATATTGGGGTGAGGGATTATGAGAGGACTAAACAATAATTATAGACACCCCTCTAATTTATTTTGTATATAATACTTAATTATATTTAATAAATAATAATAGTAATAATATAATATTTGTAATATTATTACAAAAAATATAATATAATGTATGATAATATTATATATATTATTATAATATCATATTAGTAATATATACGTTCCTCTGTTTTATTTTATATGATACTTATTATGTTTAGTGAATAAATAATAATATATAATAAATATTTATAAAATTATTATAAAAAGTAATATTATATTATAGTATTCATAATAATATTATTATAGTACAGAATTAATATTATTATACTACAGAATTAATATTATTATAATATTAAATTAATTATATTATATTATTATTATTATTATTATATTTTTATATTATTATATTGTAATATATATTAGATATAATATATTGATATATTATTATGGATTATATATTATATTAATTTTATAATATGTCATAATACTAATATATTACAATATTATTTTATATTTTTG